GAAGCAGGGGTGACCAGGAGAGGTTCGGGGGCAGCGGAGCTGGTTGGGAAGGATCAGGGGAAGTGGGGGGGAAGGGGGGGCAGGACTGACCTGGGCACGTGCAGATCCCGGGGCGCTGTTAGTCCCGCGCACGGTTTCGGGGGCAGCGGAGCTGGTTGGGAAGGATCAGGGGAAGTGGGGGGGAAGGGGGGGCAGGACTGACCTGGGCACGTGCAGATCCCGGGGCGCTGTTAGTCCCGCGCACGGTCCGGAGAAGCGCGAGTGAGTCCGGCTGCGGCTCCACCACGCGCTCAGGAGCAGGGACAGGGCTTCTCCTCCCCGAGGCGTCAAACACAGCCAGGGCTCCCAGCGCCAATCGCGCCACCTCCCAGCCTCTCTCCCGCCCCCACCAGGCGTCCGTCCGGCGCCCAGCCAGAAATTCAGGAAATATCGGACGTTGCACATTGCACCTGTCCGGTATTTTCTGGGGTTTTACCGGACACAGGGCCCAGAAACCGGACTGCCCGGTAGAACACCGGACACTTGGCAACCCTAAAAGGGAGCGGGAGGCGCAGAGTGAAGGACTGAGGGGAGGAAGTGTACAGCTGAGGCCTGGAGAAGGAGAGTGTTGGGGCTGAAGCAGGCAAGATTCACTCCGGTCCCAGGGCGAAGGTCCGAGGGGAATATTTGGGGAGGTGGCCCAGGGAACAGGCTGCTGTACTGCGGCTAGAGGAAAACGCCACTCAGGTGCTGCGAGGGTCCCTGGGCTAGGACCTGAAGTGGTGGGTGGGCCAGGTTCCCACAACCCTCCCCATGCCACTGCAAAGTCTGCTCCTGGAAAGGGAGGCCAGGATTTCCGAGGGGTTCCCCCAACCCAGCTGGGCCCCTGGCCTCTGGAAAAGCTGGGGGTCACAGAGAGCCTCTGAGTGCAATAACTGCCTGGAAGTGACTCGGCTGGAGCTTTGCTGCAGCTGTTACTAGCTTGCGGAGCCCAGCAAGGTTAATGGGGTTAGTAGCTGGCCGCACCGTGTGCTTCTCAGAGCTCACCCTTCCAGCAGTGAAATGCCTTGAGCCAGCGCGAAGGCAATTGCTGCCCTGTGTGCTTTGCTGCCTCTCTTGGAGGAGTCCCTGGCCTGCCTTGCTGTGTCTCTGATTTTTTCCTGGATGCTGCCACGTTTGCTCACTCAGGCCTCAATCCTCACTGACTGTTCACTAATTGCTGTAGCTTCTCTGTGAGTCCTTCTGTGGGGCCCTGGACTGGGAAGAGTGAGCAAGAGAAACCGAAGCGTTACAAGTGATTTCAATAAGGCTCTAGGGCTCTCAGAACCCACTGACATGCAGCTGCCTCTGGGCTGGAGCGCAGCCCTGTTGTACAGCGCGCAGCAACCCTGCCCAGGCAGCAAAGAAGAAGGATTGTGTAACCTCTGGAAAGGCCGAATGCAAGTAGCCCAGCTGGAGCGTGGCTCGGGCTGTACGGCTAATGCACACGTCTCCTCGCAGAAAATGCGCCCTGAATTGCGTGGCTCATGGGAAGGGCAGCCCCAGCACTGCGGTATGACACTGGCTCACTGCTCATTCTGCAGAGACTCTGAAGAGGCCCAGCCTGGAGCAGAAAACTGCGAGGAGGAGCTGTTTCCGTCGTTCTCCTCAGCACCCCCATGCAGGTGGCTCTGGGGACAGCCCCTGCAGGCCCAGAGGATGGGCGGGGGGTAGAATTTGCCACCAGTGGAGTCGTGCTGGTGCTGTGAGAGTGAGGCTCTGGGGCGAGCTCATTAGTTCTCCCTCTACCTGCTCCGTCGGCCGCTTCCTGGCCCACGTGGAACATTCGCAGCCTGGAGCCAAGTGTGGAGGGCTGCGCACCCTCGAGCAGCACCCAGCCCCTCTCCGACCCCTGCTGCGTCTCCTGTTGTTGACACGTTTTCCTGGTGAGGCAACAGCTTCCCGCTCCCTTGACGTGGGCGCTGACGGGCGAGCGCGGGGGCCGGAGGGTAACTTACCCAATCGGCGCCAGGTGGAGCCAGCCTGCCTGGCCTGCATTGCTCAAGGGTTTGCGTGTTTGGGCAGAGCCGTGGGAGCCCATTGGTCAGCGCGTGGGACGCGGCAGCTCCTGCCCACAACACTGAGCTCTGCGGCAAGGAGGGGGCAGGGCACCGCCAGGCTGGGAGAGACCTAGGGGCATTGGGCCAGCCCCACTCAGCCGGCAGGACCAGCACCCCCGCTGAGAGCAGCCTCTCCGGAACCCCTGCAGGGAGCTGCGGCTGCCCCCAAGCCTCCTGGCTCTGCTCTTCGGCAGCGAAATAGCCCAGTTCCCTCAGCGTGGGCTGTCCCGAGGGCCCAGTGGCCCCGAGGGGTGGGAGAGGCACGCGGGGAGCCCCGCTTCCTGGATTCACGCTCGTCCGACGCCTGCGTGGCTCTGGCCCCGGGCAGCACCCCATTCACTGCAGCCTCCGGTTCAATTCGTCCAGCACCCGGGCCCCTCAGCTGGGGTTGTGCTCTGGGTCCGGCTCCAGAGCCCGGATGCCCTCAGGGGTTCCAGGGAAAACAGCTTGGGAGTGGATGGGGCCCCCCCTGCTGGCCAGAT